AACAATTAATATTCTCAATAATTTTTTAAATTTCTTTAAAAAATTTAAACTTCACAAAAAAAATTAATATTCTTAATCATTTTTTTAGTTATTCTTAATTGTAAAAAAAATTATTCTCTCTTCACATTCCAATTAAGAATATATATATATATATATATATATATATATATATATATATATATATATATATATATATATATATATATATATATATATATATATATATATATATATATATATATATATATATATATATATATATATATATATATATATATATATATATATATATATATATATATATATATATATATATATATATATATATATATATATATATATATATATATATATATATATATATATATATATATATATATATATATATATATATATATATATATATATATAAAAGAAAATCTTTTAAATAATTATTCTTAATTATTTTCAGTAAGACTTTATTATTTTTATAATATATACAAATCTTAAGTAATCATTCTTAATTATTTTTTGAATTCTTCTTAACTATTTAAGAAATTAGTGATGAAGTCATCCTAAAAATAATACATTTTTTAAGAAGTAAATGGTTTATAATATATATATAATTTTTGTTCTAAGAAGTAAATGGGAAAATGTATTGTTCTAAGAAGTAAATTGTACATACTCTGGTCTAAAATGATACAATTTTTGTTTAACACAAATTTAACAATCTTAATGAATTAGTGTTAATGAAGTCTATAGAAAATGAAATCAAATTTAACAATCTTGTCTTCAAGTTTTATTCTTATTTCAGTGGCAGAATTGTTGTCTCCTTCAAGGAGAAGAACCCTGAATCCCTTTGAAAAATCTTTCCACCCTTGTAAATCATTGGCAGTGCAAAGCATAGTTGGTTTAGCATCCTTCTACACTAGTAGCAGATCATGAAAAATCTTTCCACCCTTGTATATCATTGGCAGTGCAAAGCATAGTTGGTTTAACATCCCTCTACACTAGTAGCATATCAATACCAATCTGCAAGATCTATTATGAGATCAAAAATTGCAAGTTTGATTAAACAAAGTACTTAACTTTAATCTAACACAGAAAGAGAAATTCATGAAAATTCAACACGTAAAGCATATTAGTTTGTGCCCCTCTCTCTAAATGCGACACATTAGTTAAATAACAAGTTAAAAATAAAAAGAACATAGTGACTCAATTCTTTCCCATAAAAAATAAACCACTAGTAGGCAGAAAATCTTAATTTGCTGATTGATAACACTATGAAGAATCTGAGTTTAGGCAGAAAAGCATATCAATATATGAAACAGGGGAAAAAAAAGTAACATGAAGTATCTGATATGAAACATAATGCATCTGATATGAAACATACCATTTATAAATGTAAGGATACCATTAACTATAAACATACCAATAAACATCTGAGTTATAAAGCATGGGCAATGAAACATGATAACTTTAAGGATCCCAAAACACCTTAACAGAGGTATAAGAAAACATTATTGTCGTTGAACTCATCTATGCTACAGAAACCTAACTTCATAGTATGTACACATAACAAACTTCATACTCTTCACATAAAATCAACATGCAGGGCATAAAACATCATTAGATGAAGGCTATGTCATGAATAATTCTTAACATGAAGATTGTGTATTTTGTGTATAGTTTTTAACATGAAGATTATGTATGAATGATGTAATCGTACCTTGGGTGAAAAGAAAAAACTCTCAAACAAGTAACCTCATGTTGTGGAAAAGAAGGTTGAAAGGTCCTCAACAAAATCGGGTCCATCAAAATCAAATGCAGCTACAAAAGAGAATCAAAGTAGAAAAAAATTAAACATACATTAATTAAAAAAGAATATAAATGAAAAGAATACAAATGGAAATATTGTAGATACTAACATGGAGTTCCACAAAGCCAATCATGTGTACACAACAATGCTTTAACATTTTCGGGTAAAAGAGCGCTTCGATACTTATCAAGTATACGTCCACCTATACTAAATGTTGATTCTGATGCAACTATAGTAATTGGAATGCTCAAAAGGTCACGTGCCAATATAGAAAGTTTAGGATATTTACCCTCATTTTCTTTCCAATATTGAAAAACATCCAAATCAGCATATTGCTCAAGATCAATTTTTTTTTTCATTCAAATAAGTTTCCAAATCAGACTCATCTTTTGATGGTCCACACAATTTACTTTCGTAACTCCCAAAATCCTGCAAGTCATTTGAGGGAATGTTTGGACTACCTCTAATTGACCTTTGTGAAGATGAAGTGCTTGCTTCATTTGAGGACTTGAGATATTCTTGAAAAAAAGCTTTCAACTTATCAAAAATCACCTTTGCAACTTGTACTCCCTCACCACCTAACAACCTCACATAACACCACTCAACAAACTGCAACTTATATCTAGGATCTAAGATGACAGCAAATGATAGCACAACACTATAAGAATTCCAATATTTATTAAATTTTTTCTTCATTCTTCTAGCCATGCAACATAATTGATTTTGTTTCTCAAACTCACTATGATCAACACATGCAGCTTCCTTGATTTTCATATAAATTCGCCACACACCAATAAAATAGAGGTTGGCGGTTGGATAAGTGCTACCTGAAAAAAAACACAGTGATATCATAAAATGACTTCAAAAAATCAGCTATGATTTTTACCTTATCCCATTCCTCGTTTGATAAGCAACAATCAAAATAGGGATCAATATCTCTTAGGAGGGTAAAGGCTTCTCGTTGACCTATAGCCGTCTCAAGCATCAGATAAGTGGAATTCCATCTAGTAGGTAAGTCTTGACGAACTTGCTTAGAGGTCACATTTGAAAGTTGCTCTAAACAAGATGCAAATTTTATCTTTCGAGCTTCTGAGCCTCTTACATATTTCACACACAACCTAATTTTATCCAAAGATCCATCTATCACCTTTAAACCATCATGAACAATTAAGTTTAAGATGTGTGTTCCACATCTAACATGAAAATAAGTATCTTCAGCTATGAATCCTAATCCTGATAATAAATGTTTCTTCAATATATTCACCATAACATCATTGTTAGATGCGTTGTCTAAAGTAATCGTGAATATTTTTTTCTCAATACCCCACTTCTTTAGCAAATTTATTAACTTCTCAGCCAAATTAAAACCGGTATGAGGTGGTGGACAATGAGTGAAGGATACAACTTTTTTCTCTAATTCCCAATTCCTATTAACAAAATGTGCAGTCAAAACCATATATTGATCTGTATTTATTGCAGACCATAGATCGGATGTTAAACAAATTTTTCCTGGAATCGACTACAAATAGGATTTTAAGTTTTCCTTTTCTTTTCTAAACACCTTCAGAACATCAGACTTTGCAGTATTTCTAGTAATTGACTTAACATCGGGGTGTAAGAAACAAAGTAAGTCAATTATCCCTTCGTGTTCAACAAAAGTAAAAGGATAATTGTGTTTGACAATTACCTTAGAAATCTTTTCCCTATACTTTTCTTGATCCAGTGGCGGATAAGAAGATCCATTCCCTCTTCCAACACATTTCACTGCATGTTTTTATCAAATTTGAAGTGCCACCACCATCTCTAGCCATATAAATTTTATTACAACTTTTGCATTTGGCCTTTGGGAGTCCTTTATCGTTCACAAACTTTTCAAAAAATTCCCCAGCCGTAGAAGTTTTTGTTCTTTTTGAACTAAGGACTGAACTTTCATCAATTTCATCCTCAATTTGAATTACGGGTTCATCGCCATCGGTAGACATATTTCCTATAATTTGACAATAATTGAAGGTGAGTACAAAGGAAATACAAACTGAATTATCCAATTAAAAGTCACTAATAACATTAAGACTTGAAACCATAAAAACACTTCAATAATTTATTATGCATCAACTAGCTTTATTTCATATAGATTAATGACATTACATGTCAAAAAGAGAGAAATTGTGTCAAGGATTTATTTCGGATTCTTCAAAGTCATTAACCATGGCATCCCTTTGGAACCTATGTCCCAATTGGAATCCGAGGCCTTCAAATTCTTCTCTCTCCCTCAAATAGAGAAAGAAAAAGCAGGGCCTGCAAATCTTTTTGGTGATGTTGGTTGGATTGAATATCTTCTCCTCACTACCAATCAAGAACACAATTTCTCTCTTTAAAACTAATTACCTGAATATATTTTGCCTGCTCTGTCAAGGCTATTAAAGTGGTTTCAAACAGCTGATATTGAATGCATTCTCATGAAAATTTGAACACATGCATAATCAAGTGAACCCAGCGACACGAATGAAAACTAATTACAAGAAGTTCTTGCAGTATATAATAGCACACATACAGACTACCATCAAAATCAAGAACGGACTCAGCCTAACAAAACTTCAGAATCTAGATCAACAGGGGAAGATTCGATAAGTCATTATAAATTGTTTCTCTTGATGCTTCCACAAGTCATTATAAATGGTTTCTCTTAACACAAGCATGGCCAGGTCCTAAAATTGTCCTATATCAAAGCAACAGCTAAAACATTGGATTTAACAGGGTCTGATGGGAATCTAGATGGTTCAACCTCTCCACAAACTCTGATAGCAGCCATGAATACAACTCACCATACTAAACCTCAGTTCTAAGTTAAACAACATAAGACTTGCAGCCTAACCTCAAAGTCTTGAAGGAGCTCCCAAGACTGAGCAGAACCATAACCGCAGACCTACAACATACGACCTACAACTGATTGGAGTGAGTGTCCTGAGATGGGTGGAATAGGTGATTTATTAGCTTCATCAGATTCCTAAAACGGAGGACAATACTTCCACCTCTATAGTCAATATGTTATAGCAACCCTTAGGTGCTAAGTGAAACCCTGCTGCACTTTGGTTTGTGGTAGTGGCCAAATAACGGTTGTAGTGGCTAATAAAATGAAGCTCATGAGAAAACCCAAATATGCCTTGAACTTGTAGCCGTTTCCTTTGGTTTTCTAACTTGCAGTCTAGAGATAAGATATGCGGATTCTGTTGTAAAGAGTAGTTGCAAGGTTAGATCCATCTTTAGGAGCTAATAACAAACTACTAAAATTAATGGTTTTTTCTCTAATCACTAAAATGACTTTGGAATCAACTCCACTAATTCTACCATCCAACACAAAACTATGTTTTAAGTCATACACAGGAATGCCCCCACAACTCTTGATCAATGTTATTGTGGCACCGCGAAGTCTTTTATAATTGAATTCAAATGAAAGGTTGTAAAGATAACCTCCACTTTCACTCCCAATCTTTACCCAGTCATAATTATAACCCATGCAGCCTAACAATACATGATCTGAAATTAATGCACCTAAATGATACCGTTTACAGTATCGGTCAACTTCTTCGGTGTGTTGATAAATAGTACAAGAAATTTCACCGACAGTAGTAATATCCCATCCTCCAGAGAGAATGGTGCAAAAGGCAAAACCATACAAACCATATCTTGAAATATGAGGAATAACTATCGAAGCCATTGTTATATGAAAAACAAACTTGTTAGGAACTTGAGCACCTAGAAAGAAACATGAATCCATATGATAACTCATACGATAACTTGGTATATTCCAGTTGCTCCATGAACGGGATCCTTTGTGTAACATGTTCTCAGATGAACGGAGTCTGTGTAACATATTCTCAAGTATTGATGGTTGAAAGGAGTTTGTCTTCAAATGAATGCAATTCTTGGCTGTAAAGCTGTGCAAGCTAACTGGAAGTTTTGGTAGGTACTTAAGTTTTTGGCAGTTATCTAAATCAAGAAATTCTAACATTGAATTGTTTTGGATGTTGTCAGGGAGAGTTTCTAAGTTCTGGGAAGTTCTCAAACATAAAAGTTTTAAAGATGGTGTACCATCAAGGATGAACCAAAGACTCGATGTATTGATCTATGTGCATCCTGTAAGGTGCAGTTCACAAAATTTCTTATTACACAACATAAATGAAGAAAATCCACTCTTCCACACTTGCAAATTGAATCACAATAGAATGTCATAACAAAGTCAATTAGCTGGCTCCTACTTAAATGTTTCCAAATCCACACTTTGTAAATTCAGGGTAACATTGGCAACATGTGTTCATACATCATCAATTAACAAGGACAATAGCTAAGCATTTAACTGATTTCTCTCACGAACAAACTAACTGTATCAGTTCATATTGCATCATGTAATCTATATAATATTCAAATCAACATAACAACACTCCTCATAGTTAACTATAACTAACCAAGTGCAGCAGCCATATACCATCTAGCATTCACAATCAAAATTAACTTCCATCCAACAAACTACTAACTAACTCTGAGTTTCACAAGCTGTTAACAAAGCTAATATCACACCATAATAAAATTAATGGTTTTTTTCTCTAATCACTAAAATGACTTTGGAACCAAAACCAGCCAGTAAAAGCAGCATAACTCCTGTATAAGGCACTAAGTTGTTAACAAAATTGACAGCATGAGCTCCCCGTACATGAATATATCAGCAATCAATGTGTTTGTACTCACTTATACACTCCAAATTCAACTTTTCCCTCCTTCCTTAACTCAACTTCAATTACAACTCTCACTAAAATATATCCTTATTGTTTGCAAACCAAAACCAGCTCTCACTGTTTTTATTGGTTCTGCTGCTGTTGGTTCCAAAGTCATCTCTAAGATGCAAAATCCTATAGTAATTATAATCATCTCTGACAAAGTATCATTATTTGCAAGTTCTTAACCAAGCATAATCAAACGACGGAATAGTTAGAACTGGAGAAAATGGGTGAACACTAATTCATATAGCTGAACACAATTCATATACAGAACACAGAAATATTACTGAATGTCGAGTAAGAAGCTATATTAGATAGCTAAAGAGAGAATATCCAGCCACAACAATTACGAAAACTGTAGCACCGAAACCTTGCAATTGTAGCACCCAATTGTTGAGATGAATGGCGATTGAAGCACCGAAACGTTGAGATGAATTTCTAGTGCTTGATATTAAAACGGAATTAAGAGAAGAAGAAATTTGGAGAAGAATAAATTTGGGGACAAAATTAGGGTTCTTGGTTTAGACAGAAATTTGGAGAAGAAAAAATTTGGGGAAGAAATTAGGATTCTTAGTTTAGAGAGAAATTTGAAGAAGAAGAAATTTCTAAGTAAAATTTAGGAAGAAAAGAAGAAATTAAATGTTTTTATTTTTGTGTTTAAAATAAAGAAAAATTATTTAATTGAAATGTTTAATGTTTTTTTTAATAAAAATAGTTTATTTAATTAATTTTATAAGTGATAATATAAAATCCAATGGATTTATAAAATGAGATGGATAAGATCCAATGGATTTATAAAATGAGATGGATGGATTGAATCCATCCATATGAGTTAGTAGATTGATTGGATCAAATCCATTAAATTATTTTTTGTCTTATGGATGGATTGGATGGATAATATCTAAATGGATTTTATTGCCACCCCTAGAATCTATTCTAAAAACATTAAAGCAAAAGACAAAAGCCTTTGCTAATTAAGAAAAGAGTCAAATAAATTTAAAAGGGTGTGCTTAAAAAAGTTTGGAGATCCAATTGGGCCGAATTTCCAATGCACTTAGTTTAAGATCTAACTGTGTTATGCCCAGTACCACTGAAACTTCTGCCTCAACTTGAGGTAGTAAGAACCAAAAGAATTACAAGCTTATTTACTTTAGAAGTGAAAAAGAATGTGAGATTACAAGTAGAAAAGATGTTAATCATGAAGCTACGAGCAAGGAGCCTACTAAAATGTCAGCATAAGTCACTTTAGAATTTTAGCCAAAACCACCCATCAATTTCATAGAGAATGTTCATTTATTAAGTCCATATTAGCAAAAAGGGAAGTCACATGTCATGTCACATACAACTGCAAAAGCATCATTTGATATGACAGAAGTAAGTTCACCAAGAAAATTTCTTTAAGAAAGGCATCCACCTTCATTCCCTCAAAGAATGTTGTTCTTTTGGTCTGACTGCATTTTGTAAAACAACAATATGGAGAAGTATTCAAAGTGTTAAAGATTAACCTAACTTCTTTATCTGTATGAAGGTGTAAAAGGGACACATGCTAGACGTGATCTCACAGTATGTTGGTACGACATCTAGGCCTTGCGCAACAAGTCATTGTTGCTGCATTTTGGAAGACTTTCTAGTCAAAACTTTGATCATATTTTATTCATAATTGGCTTATCAATATGAATAAGTGATTTGTTTGACACTTGGATGAAGATTTATTCAGATTTAATTGAAGATTTAAATTTAAATTTAAATTGAAACAAAACATATCTTGTTTGAGAGGTTTATGAGACATATAATATCCAACAGATTCTTCATTAATTCTGGACGAAATTAAAGCTAATATCCAAGGATAAAAACCCATAGTTATTATGCTATATAAGGAGCTCAAACCTACATTGAAAAGCAAACATTCACATTGAAGATTTTAGAGTGTTATGGTTTACAAGGGTCATTGTTATTTTTATGTACACCACACTATGTTTCAGTAACTTGGCATAGTTGCATGTTTCTCTAGTTAAGTTGTATATTCAACATCTTTATATACACCTCTATATTTTAGTAAATTGGCATATAATTTTTGTCTAATTGAGTTGTAATATTCGACATTGATAATTAGGTGTATCAAAAATCACTAGAGTTTAGTGAATGAGAAAAAGTGGGAGGGATTCTCATATTTAAGGGGAGTCTGTAATGCCCTAGACCGCTTTCAAGATTACCGACTAACCCCACAAACCAACACATGTCTTTTCAGCATGCTTTGTCCTCACTCACATCCTTTTCGAGAAACTTCCCAAAAGGTCACCTATAAATATGTTCTCACTAGTTAGAAGTCTTAAATAAATATTTTTGAAAGGCTTGATTTGAATCAGACAAGTTGTGATTCAAATCATGAACTTATTTGTTAGTGTACCGAAAAGAAGATGCATCTTATTTTTGATAGCCTAACAAATAAGAACTCCATAGTTAAGTGTTCTTGATTTGGATTAGAGACCCTTCAGGGAACATAACCTGTAGGAGCATCTCCGTTTGCAACGAACTTGTCATCATAAATATTACCATGAACATCCATATAACACTAGCCATCATCGTCTTTATAGTATTTCATCAACTTCACAACATTAGAATCAAAGAACTTAGGAGCTTCAAGCATGCCTACCTCAACTTTACAAACATTGTTCAAGGTTAAGAGGTATCAAACAAATGATGTGTAAAATAATGGACATCTACAAGTAGAATGAAAAACATGCATTTGATCCAAAATAAACTTCATCCAATAAAATTCCTTTTGTGTAAGGAGAAGCCATGCCATATAAAGTTTTAACTTGTCAACCTTATCCTAGTTCTTCAATTTTTTTTATAGAAAATATTCACAATGACCCAATGTAACATCTGCATACTGCACTTCATCTGACTGATTTGAAACTTTGCAGTGTCAAGATGATTCATGTGAACAGTTTTGGAAATCATCTTGACAAATTCAGTGTAGTTGAAATAAGGGGAATTGGGTAAACAAACCTCCATACCTTTGTTCTCCAAACCAAAGTGATTCAAAAAGTCTTCTTCATGAAATTTGATAAGCTTGCCAAGAAATTTAATTTCAATTCCAAACCTTGTTTTTTTAGACAACAGTAGAAGGCTTTCACATGATGATGATTATACATTATATGAAGACTAATAAATTTCAGTAAGTTGTGGTTCTCAAAGGGTTTTAGAAAACCAATACCAATTTCTTTCAGCACCTTTATCCATATAATACTCTGTTTCAATAATCTTGTTGATAAAGTGTTCAAAGTATGATTTGAAATGGTAATCAATAATTAAATGGTTTACATTCTGATACAAGGTTTCCACATTTCAACTTTGAGCATCATTAGTTGGGAAATGGGTAGGAGCAGTGGCATCAAGAACTCTAGGAGATTTAGGAGATTTATATGCACTACCTGGTGCAATGGTATTCACCTCGGGACCCTTTGTATCTTGCATTTTGGTTCTCATTCCCTTAGGGGTCTCAGGATACGCAAGAGTAATAGAAGAGGATTTTCTCTTTCCCTTTTACTTTTCAAAGAAATTGGATTGGTTTTCCATTGATGATGATTGAAGGTTGATGAAGGATATGAAATGAGTTATGAAATAATATTAGATGAAATTAAGTGATGAGTGATGAAAATGTTTATGAATAAGAATATGTGAAATGTTATGATTTTAAGAGAATCCTTCACAAGATAATATGTGATGATGTCTAAAGCACTATGAGAGAATCCTTCATAATATATAGGATGAACTTCAATAGTAGATGTTCATATTATCTTTGATTGTGATAATAATAATGAGAAGATGATTAGCTACTTCATTGCTCGAGAAATTATCTTAACAATATAGGATAACTAATTCAACACTTTGATAAAGATATGGCTCGTCCAAAACTTGATGCTTTGAAATCCTTAAATGCTTGTTGAACAATCAGTAAACACGCTAAAATTCACAAAACAATTTTTATCTTTTTTTACGGTGACCTTGGAAGAGTAGATCAACCAGGAGATGCTTCTTCTTCCTTTCACAAATCTTTCACAAAATTCAACCGTATATAATATATTAAGAAATTGTTAGCTTTATAAATAATCATCAAACAAAACATTATGCTATAGTGTAATGTTTCCGGTTACATGGACACAACTCAAAACTCTTTTAGTTCAATCTTTGATGTGTTTAATTACAATGAACTTCCAACTTCTAATTAAAG